CACAGAGTAGACAGGGATGGGCAACTTGGACATTGGCTACCCAAAATGGGGCAGGGGGGGCTACAAAGACAAGAAGTGACTGGCTTACAAGCTTTCAAGAGGGAACCTAGTCCAGAGGGTGTGGAGGATGGTAGAGTCTCCAGTGAGTAGTATCCAACCTGTCTAGGAAGGGCTGATGAAATGAAATGCAGATAGGTCTCTTGTGATACAATAGTGAATAATTGTTATCAGGACTGATTGTGAGGGTTGGAAATGTAAATGTGGACATTTTACAGCAAGGAGGGGAGTGATTAACTTTTCAGTGTAGGAGCAGAGGGCCCTGGGACCATCAATGGAGAAGAGCGGAGAGCGGGACCCTACCCAGAGAGGCAGTGATGCCTGAGATGGAGGCAGAGACCATGATGTGGAGAGATGGAGCGGCTGGGGACTTGAGATCCAGAGAGGGAGAGGGGCTGTGTGCTGACAACTGGAGGTGGTGGGGGGCGCGGCAGGCTTGCAAGAGACACCCTTTGGTTGGTTGATGATGCATGGATGGGATTGTAACTATGGCAATGAAACAATTTATGATAGAATGAATGTAAAACTAATGTTCTCCGGTGCAAACTATCATATAATTCACAATAGATCCGTTTTGGAAGAAGTGCAGCCAGAGTGCTCCTTGGAGGCCAAGATGACCCGACTTTGTCTCTCATATTTCGGACATCTTGTCAGGAGGGACCAATCACTGGAGAAGAATATCATGTTTGGTAAGGTGTAGGGTCAAAGAAAAAGAGGAAGACCCCCAATGAGATGGGTTTGCCAAGTGGCAGCATCGATGGACTCAAGCGTGGCAACAGTAATGAGGTTGGCCCAGAATCAGGCAGTGTTTCGTTCTGCTGTGCATAAGGTCGCTATGAGTCGTAGCACTGGACTGGTAACTGCAAGATAGGCAGTTCAAACCCACCAGCTGCTCTTGGAAACCTTACACGGGGTCACTATGACTTGGAACCAACTCAATTGCACACAACAACAACACGGTAATTCCATGTTCAACTTATTTAGAAGGAACTGTCAAACAGCTTTCCACAGCAGCGGTACATTACATTCCCACCAGCAATGTACAAGAGTTTCTGTTTCACAGAGGGACTGGAAGCAAATACTGTTGAATGGTGATGTATGGAGGGGACTGTAATCATTGCAATGAAATGAAATACAATAGGATGAGTGCAAAACTGATGTTCTCCCATGTAAACTGTCATTCAAGTCCCAATAAAAGCTTAAAAAAAAAAAAAAAAGACTTTCTGTTTTCTCCTCGTTCTAACCAACACAACTTCTCTCTTTTTTAAATCAAAATCCACATAATTGGGTGTGATTGTTTCTTTCATTTGATTTAGCTTCTCTACACAGAGAGCAAGGTTCAGTCTTTTAGTGTTTTCTTTCTTCATATATTATGTGCTTAACGTTATCCCACAAAATGTGTGGGTTTCAGCCATTAATGTTCTATGTATCAAATATATTCTTGAGATGGTCTCTAAATTCAGATGGTAGTCAAGGTCATGCTGTGGCTCTCACTGATTTATTTTAACTGTTTTTCAGCTTTAACTTGAACTCGCATACGAGCAATTGATGATCTATTCCACAGTTGGCTCCTGGCCTTGTTTTGAGAAGTAAATTGTCAGGTTTTTCTTCCCAGTCCAGAGCCAGGTCCAGAACCCCAGACCTCTGGAGGCACAGGTGCTTCTGAGAGGGCACCTCGATGCAGGTCTGGAAGCTTGACTCACTCTGTGCTTCTAGGTGAAGGGCCGTGTAGCCACACAGGACACATAACCCACATTTTTCTATGTAGATAAGGAATCAGATGGCAGGGGGACAGCCTGATGCTGCAGATGCTCAGGTGCTGCTGACCTGATTTTGAAGTGATGGACACTTCATGTGAAAAGGGGACATTAGCCAAAGACCAGGGAGTACCCCCACCACATGTCTGTGTAAATGATGAGGGGCAGGAGGGGAGAAGAAGTGAGGGGAAACACTGTGAGTTCTTGTGCTCCCCTGATCTGTCCCTGACACCCACCACCACATATCCTGGGGACCCTGTGAGAGAGCCTGGGGGGATCCTGTGGGGGTCTCTGATCTGCAGCCAGGAGTTGCATTGACTTCTGGAAACCTGAGGCCCCACCTGAAACAATGAGTTTAAGCAGAGGAGACCTGAGCCAGGTAAGTGTGTGCTTGGGAGGAATCATCTGGGGTTCCCCTCCCTCTAGGGGCTCAGCCTCCTTTGGAGGCTTACTTTTCTTTTGGGGTCCAACTCCCTCTAGAGATCCACCTCCTTTGGAGTCCTTTGGGGGTCCATCTTCCTCTGGGGTCCACCTCTTTCTAGGGTCCACCTCCCTCAAGGGTCCTAAAGTGTGGGGCTTGGCAAGTAATAGTGAAGACCTGCAACAGGCTGGAGGACAGAGGGGAAATGGACAAGGGTGACCTCTAGTTCAGTAAAATGTCCCCAGAGCCCACCCATACCCTAAAGGGGAAGCTGGGTGCAGGCGAGAAACTTCCTGACTAAAAGTAACCCCCCCACACATATCCCCAGCCCTCAGTTCTTCCTCTCACCCTCTCCTGGAGTAATTCTAGACTCAGGAATTTGTTCCGCCCTCCTCAATCCCTGGCCAATTTGTCCATTTACAAAAGACCAGGAAATGGAATCTTCAGGAAAATACGGCTTTGGAAAGGGAGGGCCTGTAAACAATTACCCTAGCATCCGGATCTCATTACAATCGGTCTCGGCAGCGCAGAGCATACGTCCCAGTCTGTTTCCACTTTCGCAGGCACTGGCTTCACCCAAACCTAGAAGATGGTCAAGGAGGAGCATGAGGTGTCTGTGATGGGGCCACCCTACAATACTGCACCCATGGCGTCCACTGTGATCAATATCCGCAGTGAGACCGCTGTGCCTGACCATATCGTCTGGTCCCTGTTCAACACGCTATTCCTGAACTGCTGTTGCCTGGGATTCGTAGCCTTCGCCTACTCTGTGAAGGTGTGTCTGCTGGGATCTGGGGGATTCTCCCTGAGTGTGGAAGTGTGGACTGCGTGACCCTCTACCCAGAGTGTATGTCCGTGTGTGTGTGTGTCTGCTGGGATCTGGGGGATTCTCCGTGAGTGTGGAAGTGTGCACTGCGTGACCCTCTACCCAGAGTGTATGTCCTTGTTTTTGTCTCTTTTTGTGTGAGAGAGAATTTCTTGTATTTCTTTCTTGTGGGATTTGTGTATTGGCACAATGATCCTAGTGTAGGTTGACAATAATCCTGCAGGGGTTACATGAGAACGGCGTGGTCACCAGTCAAAATGGTGTGCTGAGGTGTCTGACCTCCTTGAACTTTCCAAGAGGGAAGGAGAATCAGGATCAATAGCCCAAGGCTGATCCCCATGAGATGGAAATCATATGTATTCTTCTTCTGTCCAACCTTTTTGCCAATTCTGACATTAGCTCTTCTCTCCACAGCGTTCTCAACTTTTCTCCCGGGCTCGAGAATTCATTGCAATGACCATACAGAATTCACAGTTACAGGGTTTATTAGGAAAGTTGTTGTTGTTATTGTTAAGTGCCGTCGAGTCGGTTCCGACCCATAGCGACCCTGTACAGGGTTTCCGAGGGTGTAAATCTTTACGGGAGTAGAAAGCCTCATCTTTCTCTCGCGGAGTGGCTGGTAGTTTCGAACCGCTGACCTTAAGGTTCGCAGCCCGATTCGTAACCACTACGCTACAGGTTACAATTCAGGATCTGGAATGACTCTCGACACAGTTCCTCAATCAGAACAGCCTCTTGTCTGTCATGCCCTCAGGCAGGCCTCTCTGGCCCTCGACCTCTCTGCCCCTCTCCCATCTAGCCTCTGGCCTACTCAGACAAGTGTTACAAAGGTCCACCACTAGCAAGCCTTCTGCCTAAGTCACTCAGCTTTCTCACTCCACGCTGAGGATCAGCGCGCCCAATGTAACCGTCTTGCTTCATGGACCAGGAAGTACACTGCACTGCGGTCTCAAGCCTTTGCCACTGTATCTCTGCTGTTCATTCTTGCCATCTTGTGCCATCTCTGGCATTACAGCTCTGTCTCCTGATTCTAGGAAGTTCTCAGCACAGGGACCCCAGATCCGAAGGACACTTTGCTCCTGTTTTCTTGACAGTAGCGAGGTCCTCCTTTCTGCCCCTGGGATAGCTCATTTTCAGCCTAGCGGGATGCCACAATGGCAAAACTGACCCAGCCCCTTACTAGGGTTCCATGCACCTTCTCAGTATTCCTGCCTGGTGTGGCTCTGTAGGATCAACACTGGCCTGGGAACCACCAACTGCTCCTCAGAAAACTTATACAAGGTCACTAGGAGTTGGAACTGACTCAATGGCACTGAACAACAAGACACTTTATCTGCATCCCACCATCCCCACCCCCAATCTTTTGGAGCCATACAAAACCATGGCTAAAAAGTCTGTATGTATGTGGTTCCTTGTACCCTGTCAGATTTTACTCCCATAGCTCCTGAGGAACTCTTCCCTCTCTCACAGAATAACTGAGAAATTCATCCCACAGGTCCCCAGGCTGGCTACACAAAGTGCTCTTACTCAGGGACCCAGGGACATAGACCTGTGACCACAGCAGAGGGAGACAAGCCCATAGCTCCCTGGAGTGGCCATGAGGTGGTTCTGGCCCCAGCAGGGAGGAGATAGGAACTGTCCTGCTTGGGCTCCAGAAAGCAGTGGGTATGAGAGCCAGAGAAGGCTGCACTGTGGACAAAGGACGAGGAGGGACCCTGAGTGCTGCCACCAGCAGGTCCCTCCCAGGTCCCGTCAACATCTCTTCTCCCCCAGTCTAGGGACCGGAAGATGGTGGGCGATGTGATTGGGGCCCAGAGCTACGCCTCCACTGCCAAGTGCCTGAACATCTTCTCCCTGATCTTCAGTCTTCTACTGACCACTGGCTTAATCATTCTTCTTGCTACTGGCACCGTGATAAGCTTGCAAGCCATTTCACAGATGATGAAGAATTGATACCAGCTATATCCCTCCCCCACCGATCTTGCATCCCAGCCTGTAGGCTCCATGCCCCCACATTTGGAACACACACACATATCTGTCAATAAACAAGTTCAATAAATGCCAGTGTGTATGATGGTGCTATGGCATAAGTCACAGCCTGGCTGTGATCCTCAGCTGACACCCTCGGGTCTGGTAGGTTCTGGGCTCATAGCTGGACTGGGTTCCTGGGTGGGAGTCTTGATGGAGGGTGGGCTTCTTTTGGGGGAGAGACAACACTGGAAGCAGGAGACCCCTGTTTCTCAGCTGGTGGGAGCTTCATGGCTTCTGGGAGCTGGGTGTGTATCTCAGTCTCTCCCACCACCTCCCAGTTGAAGGCACTGGGACTCTTGGGTCTGGAGGCACGTAGATCTGATGGAGCCTGCCCTCGCTGCCCATCCTGGGGGACAGCTGCTGTCCCTTCCTAACCTCCTGCGTCCTATGGGGAGCAGCCAGGGCACGGCCCTCAGAGATCACTCTCAGAAACCCAGAGGGCTGAAGGACCAATTCCTGGAACTAAATGTTGGGGGGGGGGGGAGGGGGCTCCAGGGAAGACTTCTAGCACTTCGAGGATACCAAGCATCTGCCTGAGCATCTGGGGAGGAGGAACCATCTGCACCTGAGTCCTGTGTAAGAACTTACTTGGAGTCCATAGTTCTTGGTAGCAGGGTGCAGCAGAGGCGAATGGGGGTGCGTGCTGCTGCTAGCTCGGTCTCTGCAGAGTTGGTGGCCACCGTGAGATATCTGGAGGGCCCTTCTCATCCCTCTTTGGGGAATCCGAGCATGTCTGGGTGCCAACAGAAGGGATGTTTTGGACCCCACCTGGCCCGACCATTCACCCCTTCCCAGCAGCCCCCATCCATGAATGGACAATCCGTGGGCTGCGCAGGGCGCTTCACCTGGAGGCTTCTGGTGTTAGCGGGACCGGGAGGCAGGTGGTCAGGAGGAGAAGCGCCGACCCTGCCTGGACAAGCTGCGTGAGTGGAGAAGCAACACTCCCTGATCCACAGGCACAGCACCCGGGTGAGTGGATGCGCTGTCATATGTCCACGCCAGGGCCGAGTGTGCCTTCAGATGTGGAGCACATTTCCCACTGTCTGTTCCAGCACATCTACTTCCCCTATGTGAGACCCCATTTCTGTCTTTGCATTCTCATTACTTGGGCATAGCTTCTTCCAGTTTTCTTGGGAACCCTATACAGGGTAACTTCCTGGGGTGGTGCAGGTGGGTAATGCACCAGACTGCAAAGCCGTTTGAACTGCAAGGTCAGCGATTCAAACTCACTAGCTGCTCCTCGGAAACCCTATACAGAGTCGCTATGAGTCAGAATTGACAGGGTACAGGGTCACACTATCTCAAAGTGTCTTTTTAGGATGCTAGCCTGAAACCCCGAATTTGTTTCCATACCGATTTCCTCTGTTGTTCAGCCTTTTGAGTGGGTGGGGGCAGCCCCATGGCACCCACCACTTTGACTCTCACCTCATGTCCTCTCTCCAGGCACTTGTGGGTAGTGTCCACCAGGCCTTGCTGTCCCTTGGAATTTAATCACTGTCTTCTCTAAAAGCCTGTTGTGACTGGCTGTAAAATGTATGCAAAAGACATCAATCCCCTAAAATATTGAAACCCCAAGTCTCCCCGGGAGCATGGGCTGAAGTCAGTGGCTTGTGACCTGTTAGTGGGACCCACACAGTGACCATGAGTGACGTTTGAGGCTACATCATGAAGGCATGGAGGAAACTTGCTACCACCTTATAGATCCCATACAAGGCCCAGTTCATGTCCAAGGGCTCATGGTATCCCTCCACCCACTTGGAGTTCATGGTCAGCAGAGGCTGGGCAGCCCCTGAGGGGGAGCATGCTGGGAGGATCTCTGCAGCTTCGAGTTGTGTTAGAGCCTGTTTCCAAGCCCCTTGCTGGATGGAGTGTGGTTAGAATCCATTCAGGTCATTCATCTTATTTGCAACATTTCAGGAATTTCCATTTTATTTTCAAAAATACTCCCCTTGCAAAACAGGAAGAAAGAAAAAAACTTAAAGGAATTAATCATCTTGCTAGTTGGACTGTCTTCTAAACAAATGCCTTAAATCTTGGAAGGGCTCACAGAAGTAGGAATCTGGGGGAGTCGCTGTGGACTGTTTCCAGTGACGTGGTCTTCACCCCAGTAGTAATGAACCCAAGTCTCTATTCCTGCCAAACTTTAAGGAGGGGTCAGCTGGTCCCGTGGTGCTGATTTTTCCAGACTTTCAAAAGGACTTGGTCTCCTGGCTGGAAGCTATGGAATGAGGAATTAGAGAGGAAGGGCAAAGGAACAGAAGCATGCCATCTAATTCATCACAGTGCTCATAGGGTTAGTCCGGTTTCGCTAGTCTATCTCAGTCATCACTAAAGAAGGGACTCCATACACCATCTTATAGGGGCTCCACTTGAACCTGCTGGGGGGAGGTGGCACTGGATATTAAGTAGAGCGATAGGCAGAATGGAAGCCAGTTAAGATTCGTCTCTTGACTTACAGGAAACACCCCCAGGTGACCTTTTGCAGGGGAGAAAGAACAAAAGAATCTTTCCCAATAATCACAACTGAAGGCAGCAATAGTGTATGCATGCCAGAAGCAGGGAAGGAACTATTGTAAACAGCAAAGTCTACAGACCATCTCTGAGGCTCTCGGTTATGAGGTTACAACCATCCATTAAGGGACATGTCTACTAACATTCCTCCTGATGGGGAACTAATGCTCTTCCTGTGCTGGCTGGAGGAAGTGGCCCCAAACCCACTTTCAAACGCATGCTGCTTTTGACGCCTACAGTTCAGCCTCCAGAGGTGGGTGAGGTATTCAAGAAAAATCTGGCATCTGAACACTTAACCCTAAGCACAAGATGAAATGAAACTCTGCCTGGCTGGAGTCGGTTGTAAGCAAAATGCCATCAGATTTCATGCTCTAAGGCAGGTATAGAAAATGTCCGGCCCATGGGTTGTATGTTGTTGTTGTTAACGACCCATAACAACCCTGTATAGTGTTTCCAAGGAGAAGCTGGTGAGCTTGAACCGCCGACCTTGCAGGTCAAACAACTTTGCAGTCTGACGCGTTAACCCACAGTGCCCCACCAGGACTCAGTGAGCCATATAAGACCCACATAATCATTTGGTCCTGGCTCTGTCTTACGTGTTGTTGTTGTTGTTAAGTGCCGTCGAGTTGAGTCGGTTCTGACCCATAGCGACCCTGAACAGGGCTTCTGAGGCTGTAAATCTTTACGGGAGCAGAAAGCCTCCTCTTTCTCCCACGGAACAGCTGGTAGTTTCAAACTGTTGACGATGAGGTTAGCAGCCCGATTCGATTCGTAACCACTACGCTACCAGAGCTCCTTCTCATGATGCTGTATGTGCCACATAAAAGATCAAGAAAACATGCTATTCACTTGACAATTCAAAATATGTTTTCTGTTTGCGAGTCTAAGTTTATCTTAAGGAGCCCTAGTGTCTCAGTGGTTAGGAACTCAACTGCTAACCAAGTGGTCAGCAGTTCAACCCACAAGTAACTTCACAGGAGAAAAGACCTGCCAATGTGTTCCAGTGAAGATTGGTGGTGGTTATGTACCGTGGAATCGGTTCTGACTCATAGCGACCCTGTACAGGGTTTCTGAGGCTATAACTCTTTACGGGAGCAGAATACCTCATGTTTCTCCCATGGAACCACTGGTCATTTCGAACTGCTGACCCTGAGGTTTGCAGCCCGATTCTTAACCACTACGCTACCAGAGCTCCTTCTGTCTTATACTAAGGGTGAGCTAATTAAATGTTTGACCAAATATAGCAGGCTAGTTTTTAAGTTGATAATTTTGTATGGCCTATGAATGATGTTATAAATTTTGGCAGAAAAAAGTTTCCCCAACCCTGCTCCGAAGCATCCCCTCCTCATCCTGTCAACAACTAACTCCTGGGCTTTGCTGGGCTCTTGGCTGGCAGCTGCAGCAAGCTCCTGAAACTCTCAGAGGTCTTTCCCTAGGGCTTCACATAGGAGTGACACCTCTGTTACTGTTACAGGTTCGGATCCCAAAGAAGGATGATGACCACTATAATGTCCAATTTAGAGAATGTTATTGGCACAACACACAGCTACAGCCGGACAGCAGGAGATAATGACTTCTCCCAGGCCTGCGGTGCTGTAGGGAAATGGCTGCTAGTTTATATATGCTAAGTTCTTGGTTCAGGGTCTTGGGGTTCATCTAAAGGAATTTGTTGAAGCAGGGAGTTGTTGTTGTTGTTAGGTGCCATCGAATCAGTACCAACCCATAGCAACCCTATGCACAGCAGAACGAAACACTGCCCGATCCTGGGCCAACCTCACTATTGTTGCCATGCTTGAGTCCATTGATGCATGGAAGCAGGGAGTATAGAAGCAAAAATAGTGGATTAGTCACCTCACAGGAACACTAGATAACAAGTAACAGGTAAGTGTGACTGCAGGAGTTTGACTAACAAGACCATAAATCAGTTTACATATGTAAAATAACAAGACTATAAATCAGTTATAATGGTGCAAGGGTCCTTGAGGCACATAATTAGATGGATTATTCTAAAGAGTGTTGGGGGTCTGTAATCACACAGTCAACACCACCTGTGAGGCTTGTTTCTGTCCTATCTGCCTCAAGGCCAGGGGGGCGGATGCTGGTTTTAGAAATTCTGAGTTCTCAAGGAGCTCTATTGTTTCATTCCTCCCTGTTTTTATGGAAAGAGTCAAATCATTGATTCTTCGGTGTCAGCTGCAGTATTTAAGACGGTATATTGAGATCGCAGTATCATGAGTTTTACAGCTCTGATTCGGTTTTGTACGAATTTGATAACAGCATTTAGGATGCAGGGGCTAATATTAGGAGCATAAGGGGACCAGCTAATCCAGTTATAAGGGTAGTAACTCAAGGAGACCACTTGCATAGTGCCTGATTCCAATTTTGGGTTGAATCTAATTTTCTGTTCCTTT